AAGGATAACGCAGTTACCTCCACGAATGCTTCCACGCCCACTCCGCCGGGTTGCCCACCAGGAGTGCAGTATGTCACCAGAGCAAAACGCACTTCCCTGATTCACTCTGTTCACACCTCTCTGGGCACTGGCCATCCAGGGGCCAACAGCACCATCTCGCTGCTGAAGGATCGCTTCTGGTGGCCCAACATGGCCAGGGATGTGAGAAGGTTCGTTCAGGGCTGTTCCGAATGTGCCATCTCCAAGAGCCCACGCCACCTACCATCTGGCAAGCTCCTTCCGCTGCCCATTCCCAACCGCCCTTGGTCACACCTAGGAGTTGACTTCATCACTGATCTACCAGCCTCAGATGGTAACACATGTGTTCTTGTAGTCATTGATCGATTCTCTAAATCTTGCCGTCTTCTCCCCCTCAAGGGTCTACCCACAGCCATGGAGACCGCTGAAATCATGTTTAACAACGTCTTCAGATATTTTGGGATCCCCGAGGACATTGTCTCAGACCGTGGTGCACAGTTCATCTCCAGGGTATGGAAGGCATTCTTTTCCCTCCTAGGTGTGACCATAAGCCTCTCCTTATGGAAAATTCAGGAAATCGGGTGTTTCCTTCGAATCTTCTGCCATGGCCACAAGAACTCTTGGAACCAGTTCCTAGGCTGGGCCGAGTACACGCAGAACTCTCTCCGTCAGCCATCCACTGGACTCACTCCCTTCCACTGCGTACTCGGGTACCAGCCTCCCCTATTCCCCTGGTCCGGGGAACCGTCGGATGTCCCTTCTGTCGATTACTGGTTCCGAGAGAGCGAGAGGGTCTGGGACGCAGCTCACCATCAGCTTCAGCGGGCAGTGCGCAGGGGCAAGACGACCGCAGACCTTCGAAGGGCTGAGACTCCATCTTACCAACCAGGCCAGAAGGTGTGGTTGTCAACCCGGGACATCAGGATGCGCCTGCCCTGCAAGAAGCTCAGTCCCAGATATGTTGGCCCCTTCACTTTATTGTATTTTTCTAACCATCTGTGTGAGTCTCCTTCCATAACAGCTACAGCTTCAAAGAGAGCAGGTGTAAAGTATCAGCTAACAATCACGTCTTTCTCATCTTTTTGCACAAAATAATACATGGTGATTTTGGCTTTTTTGCAGAGAGATTCATTCTGGAGGAGTTGAACTTGAAGCAGCAATACTTGCGTCTGGCAGTATTGCTTGCTTGAAGATGTAAATAATAGTTATTTATTATCATTTTTGTATTTATTTATTTAAGAAAATTTGTAAAAACATTTATAAGAACTTTTGTAAGAAAATTTATGAGGAATTTTGTAAGACAATTTATAAGGAATTTTGTAAGAATCATACATTTACATTTATATTCCACTATTCCCTTGTAGAGTTTTCTAGTACATTTCCCTGTTGCCCTTTAGGCTCCTGCAAAAGTCATTTCTATCTCCCTATCATGAACTCAGGCCAAACTGCCATCTGCTATCTCTGACATTTCAAAATGAATATGATTAATGAGCTGAGCCAAGATATTTAAAAACTATATATTTGACACTATATTTGTTCACCTTGAGATCAGTGCCTCCTGAGCATCAGAAATTCATGAGATTTTCCATGTTCAGACTTTCCTATTGTCCATGTGTACCAAGATATGTGAAATTTGGTAAATTATTAATTATAGTCCACACCTTTAAAAAATAAGATAGCATTTTATAATAAAAAAAATAAAATATATAAAATAAAATGTGGTAGCTCTGCATCTATTGGGAAAAAATGTAATAAAGAATTCTTGGCAATTTTGTAAAAGTTACAGTGTCCTTGTTACAGTGTAATTATACAATTAGGTACTGTGTAATATTAATTAACAGCATGTGTTTAGTACAGAGTTAGGATTAGGATTATATTTTGGCTTTTGGTTAATTGCATGCAATTTTACATAATTTACTGTTATTAATATAGGTGTAACATGAAATAAGAACACAGTAAAATAAAATAAGCAGTAAGAGCAAAAGTGCAATCATAATCATTTAGAAAAGTGGTTCTCATGTAATGATTGATTGATTGATTGATTGATTGATTGATTGATTGATTGATTAGAAAGTGCAAAACCATTTGTGCCCTCTATTCTGATCATCTGTTTTCAACATCATCATTATCCCCATTTCTTTTTCTGATGAAAAACAAGAGAAAAATAATAATAATAATAATAGTAATAATAATGATGATGATGATAATAAAACTGAATGAACATTTTGTAAGTAGTATATGCTGTTGTTATTTTCTCTATACATCTTTAATAAGTCATTTTAGTCATAAAAATGTTCACAAAATAAATAATTCATATTATAATGCAGATGTGATATGAAAGGAATATATTGCAATAAATCCTGTGATTTACTCTCAAAGCACATCCAGTTCATGTTTATTCACAGTGCATTATTCAGAGGTTCTGAAATCATTTAATTGTGTGGAGAAATAGGGTATTCCATTCCAGCACTAGGGCTGGGAACCACTGTCTCACAAGACATCAGGGAAGTAAAAAAAAAAAAATCTCACCATGTTGACATTGTGAAATGAAAACCTATTGGAACTAATCACCACAGTGGTTATTGCATCCCAACTGTGGAAAATCCATGCCTGTATTATTACTCTTCCATAATAGCATATATTTTGTTTTTTAAAGATCACCAGACTGACATCTCCAAGCATTCAGTGGATTCTGTCCTTGGCTTTAGGAATGCTGCATGCTGACTGGCTGCATATCCTGTAAATGGCATAATGTGAGTGCACGACAGTAAAGTTTTGCTTCATTAGATAAATGCTTACAACAGTGAACTGTTCTGCATCTAGGGTCCTTGTGCAAGTCATCCATGACACATTAGGAACCAGATGAACAAGTTAATCATATGTGACAAAATCATTTCCCTTAGGGTTTTTTATTCTCCATGATGCCAGATGTTTAATTTTGGCATGGAAAGTGATGGACAGAAGGAGTGAACAGTAGTTTTAGGCAACAACATTTTCTACTTAGAAAAACACCCATTTTTTGGGTAGTATGTTCCAGCTTATTCCATCTGACAATTATAATAAAGTTTCAATTCAATTTCCCTATAAAAATATATTTTATTTATATTTTTAGGTCATCAACAAACTTTTAATTCAATTTAATTTTAATGGCAAAAAGCAAACAACTATTTCTTGTGGCAGTGTTTCATTGTAACTGAGATGGCTTCTTTTAATGAAGTAATGCAAAACTAAATTGTCATCTATCGTCAAACATAAAGAAAGGGTCAAAGTATGCACATCCAAAAAAGTCTTGGCCAGGTGCAAGATCAAAAGGTATCAAATAATAGAAAAAAGATCTGCACACTGTTATTCTCCCTTATTCAAAAAAGTTAAAAATAGCAACGTTTCGGTCAAAGACCTTCGTCAGGCAAACACACATACATGCAAAGGCAATAGCTCAATAAGTACTCAGATTCAAACTGATTCAAACAATCTTTGATTGCTAACAGGTGTCATCAATTGGAACTCTTTTTGCATCTGAGTACTTATTGAGCTATTGCCTTTGCATCTATAGTCAAAACAATGTAATTCACTGAAACCATTTAATTCACATGGTTGGAACTAAACTCCGCAGGAAGGTAGGACTCCAGGAGCAAGGTTGGCTACCCCTGCCAGCAGAGGCGGACAGTAACTAAGTACATTTACTTGAGTGTTGTACTTAAGTACACTTTTTGAGTATCTGCACTTTACTTGAGTATTATTTTTTTCTGGAAACTTATGACTTTAACTTCACTACATTTGAAAGACAAATATTGTACTTTTCACTCCACTACATTTCTATCAAGATCCTCGAAGTAGAAAGTCGTTAGCACCTTTGAAAATCAGTGGGTGATTTTTTTCTTCTCTAAAACGTGACTTTCTTTTATCAGACAGTTCATCAGTAATCACTCTTGGGGCTACATGTGATTTCCCAGCATTTTTTGAGCACTGACCAGTTCCAAATGTGATATTTATTTACATCAATTCAATAATAATAAGTTAATATTGTGGTTTATATTAGACACAATATGTGTTTGTGTCACAATGTCTGATTTTGCTAAATTGTGTAAGTGAAAATATTACCTATAAAGTCACAGAAGAACTGTTGTGCATCTCCTAATAAAACACAAATATCTGTACTTTCACTTAAGTAATGGAGTTTTGTACTTTGTCTGCCTCTGCCTGCCAGAAAGAATACGTCACACACACACACACACACACACACACACATACATACATACAT